ATCTTTTAGAAGGCAATGCCTCTGGGGTCAGCATTCCTTAGAAGTTGTAGCTACTGAATTAGTCTGATATTTTTTGGGAGATCTGTGCTGCATACAACTGAATGAAGAGGGGCTTCCCTGTGCCCTTGCTGAAGCAGAAGAAAACTCTTTAGAATAATTTTTATTCAGCTTTTTGTGAATGGTACATGCTGTCTTGTGAAATCCCACCTTAGATGTTGATAGTTTAGTTCTGGTGTTAACTGCTATGGATTGGTTATTAATGTGCTTTTTCAACAGCTCAGTAAAGACCCCAATATTGTCATTGCCAAAATGGATGCTACAGCCAACGATGTGCCTTCTCCATATGAAGTCAGAGGGTAGGTGCTACTTCTGTTAGACCACTATGTCAGTGGACACAAGTTCAGGCTTCCGTCTCTGCCCAGCATCCTCTACAGAAGATCTGAAAGAGGTTCCTGGGGAGAATGGGGGTACGGACAGGGAAATACATACATCTGTTCTGCTCCTCTGGTGTCCTTGCCATACCTAAAAGCTTGTCTCACTGAGCCTTTCCTCTTGAATCTGCTGTGATTCTGGTCTTGGTGCAAAAATAACACTGGAATTGCTTTTCTGAAAGCTAGCAAACCTGACTGTAGTTGTGCTCAGCCAGCTGTGCAGTTAAGACAAGGCTTTTGGATGCCACATATACTGGCTTAAGAGCTGGTTATTCTTGTTGCTATGTAAAACTAGAGCAAGGGTGCAAGTCCTCTCAGTGATGGTCTGGAAGGGCAGAGCCTGAAAAAAGCAGCACATCGTGAGCTCAGACACCTCTTCTCTTTCCCCAGCTTCCCTACCATCTATTTTGCTCCAGCTGGCAAGAAGCAAAGTCCAAAGAAGTATGAGGTGAGTGTCATGCAACTCCTGGGGCTTTCTGAAGTGATGAGGTACAATCCAGGTGTCAAATAATGTGGAGTCTCTCCAGTGTTGTGCCTGGCACTCTGTCCCGTTACCCAGGGAACACACGTGGTGGTACCTGCTGAGACTGTTCTGCTGCAGACCCACAGGAGAGAGCTCTGCTTGCAGTTAGTTTGGTCTCCTGGCTGGCACCACCCAAACTCTCCCCTAGCAAAGGCAAAGTCCACAGTGAGGACAGGTTGTGCCTTACTGCCTTGTGTGTTCTCCAGGGTGGAAGAGAAGTGAGTGACTTCATCAGCTACTTGAAGCGGGAGGCAACCAGCACTCCTGTGCTGCAGGAGGAAGATAAAGCCAAGAAATCCAAGAAGAAGGCGAAGGAGGATTTGTAAAGTACCCACTCACCATCTTGTCGGGATGGGCTCTGTGTGAATTGGGGAAGCACTGGGCAGATTGGGGCCAGTTCTGGATTGTGGAGAGCCAATGACTATGAGGGCTGAGGGGCTCCAGCTGCTGTGTCTACTTCTGTTTAATTTCCTGTCGCCTCTAAGCTGCACTGTTGTGGGGCTCCCCAGACTGGTTTGTTTTGTGGTTTGGGAGGGGGTGGGGGGTAGGGTTATTTTCTAATTTTTTTTTTGTACATTTGGAGAAGTGAAACAATAAAATGACCCCCTTAAACCTAAGTGTCCCCTGTCCTTTGGAGACTCATTAAACATAACATCAGGCTGATGCTCTCTGAACAGCACCTTCCTACTGTGAGTAGTTTCCTTCAGTGAGCCTTCAGGGCCTTGTTCTCGATGTTAAGCTTGTCTTTTCTCCAGCTAATGAGTAGCAAGAATTGTCCTGCTATGCTGTGCTATGGGGATGCAGATTGGAGACTCTGGAATCAGAATGGCAGGGGTTGGAAAGGATCTCAAGAGATCGAGTCCAACCGCTCTGCCCAAGCAGGTTCCCTGCAGTAGGTCGCACAGGGAGGTGTCCAGGCAGCGCACAACCGCCAGCGGGACCAGAGCGGGCGCTGACGTGATGCCACCGGCACAGCCCCGAGCGCGGCATGGGAGAGGGACAGCAACGGAAGACCGGGAGGGACGGCGGCCCCCACCCCCTGAGCCCCGGCAGCGAGGGACTCACCGGGGCGCGGCCAGCTCTACGCACTCGAGGCTGCCCGGCTCGCGCCGGCTGCGATGCGAGGAGGAAGGTGAAGAACCACGGAGGGCTCCCGGTCCCTCCCGGCGCCGGCAGGCACTGGCAGCGGAGAACCGCCCGTCCGGGCCGCGTCTCGCTGAGCCTCTCCCTCCCGCGGGGCCGTACTGCCGGCACAGGCCCAGGGAACGAAGAACTTCCCCCCCGGCCCCTGCCGGCGCGTTACCCCGTCCCGACGCCCCGAGCGGCTCCTCCTGCCTACCCTGGATGACCCGGTGCCCTCGAACCCCCCGGGGCCGGTGCCACCGGCCGCAGCGACACTCACCCCGTGGCTGCCGGCGCCGTGCGGGACGGGGCGGCCCCGGGGCGGTACCTGCCCGGTTCCGGCGGGACTCCCGCGGCGGAGCTCGTCCCGAAGCGGCTATTTTTGCCGTCGGTCCGCGACGCGCTGCCGTCACCGCTAATCCCCTTAGCGGCTTCCCGGCGTTAGGTAACGGCGCGGCGGGATGCGCTCGGCGGCGCCCCCGACTCTGTGCGGCCCCGGGCAGTCGCGGCTCGGCAGGGCCGGAGGCGACGCGCCCGGAGCGGGCTGGGGGCTGCGGGCGGCCGCCGCCGAGACGCGGGGAGCGCGGGCCCGCCCGGCCCGGGGTCGGCTCGCGGCGGCGGGCAGGTGGCGGTGCGACGGGCGGGCATGCAAGGAGCCTCGGCCGGCGGCTCCCCGGAGAGGGAGGCGGAGGCCGGCGAGCGGCTGCGGGGGCCGGGCCGGGGCAGGCGCGTTCGGTTCCGCATGCCGCACACCACTATCGCGGTGCCGTCGTGCCGCGACGAGGAGCAGCTCTTCTACCGGCGCCTGGACGCGCTCGGGGCGCTGGGACCCGACGGCTTCGCGCCGCTCTTCGCCGCCGAGGGCTGGAGCGAGGTGACGGGTGAGCGCCGGGCGGCGGGTGCGGGGCTGCGGCGCGGCCGGAGCGGCTCTCACGAGGTGCTGCCCGTAGAGGATCGGCTGCTGCGGAAGCGCGTGGTGCGGGACGGGCGGGGAGGCGCGCCGCAGCCAGGCCAGGAGGTGTCGGTGAAAGTGCTGGGAGCGCTGGAGGACGGCGGTCTGGTGGAGCGGGACCCGCGGCTCAGTTTCGTGCCGGGCCAGGGCGACGCCGTGCAGGTCGGCAGCGCAGGTAGCGGGGCGCGGGGCGCGGAGAGCCCGGCGAGCACAGCCTGCGCTCCGTGCCCGCAGGCGCTGGAACTCGGCGTCCCCACCATGCGGGCCGGGGAGGTCTGCTTCTTCCTCGCCGCCTCTCCCTACGGCTACGGCCGCGCGGGCAGGTAGGACCGGAGGGCCGGGGGCGACCAACGAGACGGGGGCGCGGGGACAGCGGGTGTCGGTCCCGCAGGGAGCCCGACGTGCCCCCCGAGGCGCCGCTGGTCTTCGAGGTGACGCTGCTGGAGGTGCGCGACGGCCCCGACCCGCAGCGGCTGCCGCCCGCCGCCCGCCTCCGCCTGGGCGCGCAGAAACGGGAGCGCGGAAACGTCCACTTCGCGCGGGGCGACTTCGCGGCGGCGCTGCTGTCGTACCGCCTGGCACTGAGCGCCCTCGAAGGGGCCGGCGAGGAGCGGCTGGACGGGACGGGCGCCGACCGCCGCCCCGCGTCCCCGCCCGGGCCGCACGACGAGGAGCTGCGGGAGCAGCGCGTGAAGTGCCTCAACAACTGCGCGGCGGCGGCGCGGCGGCTGCAGAGGGGCGCCGAGGCGTTGGCGGCCGTAGAGGCGGCGCTGCGCCTCAGCCCGGATAACGGCACCGCGCTGCTGCGGCGGGGACAGGTGCGTCCGCGACCCCGCGGCTCCCCCCGCCGCTTCCCGCCGCACCGCGCACGGCTCCCGCTGTCCCCCCGCAGCTGCTGGCCGAGGAGGGCCGCGACGAGGAGGCGGCGCGCGTGCTGCGGCGGGCGCTGGAGCTGGACCCGGCCAGCAAGGTGCGCGGCGGGGCGGGGCGGGGCCGCGGAAGCGCTCCCTCCGCGACGCTGCAGCCCCGCGGCTCTCCCGCAGCCCGTGCACGCGGAGCTCTCCCGCCTGGCCAAGCGCCGCGCCCGCACCGCCGAGGAGCCCCGCGACCGCCCGCGGCCGCCGCAGAGCTCCGGGTGCGTGTGGGGCCGAACCCCGCCCCGCGCCGCCCGGCTCCGCGCCGCGCTCACGGCCGCTCTGCCCGCAGGAAGGGAGCGGCCCCGCCCGAGGAGCGGCGCTCCGAACAGCCGGGTCTCCGCGCCGCCCCCGCGCGCACCGAGGAGGAGCGGCCGCACCGCCCCCCGCCCCCCCGGCCCACGGGCGCGGCCCCGCGGCTCCTCGCGCCTGCGCCGCAGCTCCCGGCGTTATCGCCCCCGCCGGCGGAACGGCGGCCGTAGCCCGCGGCCAATCAGGCGGGGCCGGGCCGTCGCAGCGCGCCAATGGGAGGGCGGTGGGGGGCGGGCACGGCGCGGCGATTGGCTGCGGCGCTCCCTTAAAGGGCGCTGCGGGGGCGGGGCGAAGGGGGGGCAGTGCGGGACGTGGCGGCGGAGCGGAGGGCGGGAGGGAGCGGCACCATGACCCGTGAGTGCGGGCCGGGCCGGGAGCGGCGCAGCGCCGCCGGGGGGTGGGGGTGGGAGCGGGGCCGGGGCCGGGCCGGGGCGGCTCCGCGTTCCCCACCGCGGAGCGGGGGGCGGGCGGGAGGGCGCGGGGCCTTCTCCCTTTTCCCGGGCCCGGCACACGGGGCCGAGCTGAGGGCCGCGCCGTGCAGGCGGGAACCAACGCGAGCTGGCGCGGCAGAAGAACCTGAAGAAGCAGAGCGATTCGGGCAAGGGCAAACGGCGCGACGACGGGCTCTCGGCCGCCGCCCGCAAGCAGAGGTGAGTGCCGGCAGCACCGCGCAGCACCGCACCGCCCCGCCGGCCCCGGTGTGACCGCGCCGCGCTCTCCGCAGGGACTCGGAGATAATGCAGCAGAAGCAGAAGAAGGCGGACGAGAAGAAGGAGGGCAACAAGTAGCGGCGGTGCCCCGCGGGCGGTGCTCAGCGATGCCCCGCGCAGCCCCGGGGCCGCCCCGCCCCGCCGGGCTCTCCGGCAGCGCCGCTCTCCCATTAAAGTAGCTCGTGGAGCCCTGCAGGCCCGGCCTCCTCCGTGCGCCCGGCGGCGGGGAGGGGCGGGGGACGCGGGGTCCCCGGCTGAGCCCCGGGACGGGGACGGTCGGTGCCGTGGGGCCTCCGCGACGCTCGATCTGCGAGCCCCGGGAGGGGCCGCTGCGGGAGCCCGGCGGAACGAAGGCAGCGGAGCGCTGCGGCTGCGGTGGAAGCGGCTGTAGTGAGAGCCTGGAACCGCGGCGGGGGGATGGAGAGGGGACGGGGGGGGAACAAGGGGAGGCGACGGGCGCGGAGCCGCTCCCGCGTCAGGCCCTGCAGCAGCCCGCGGCGGCCCGCGGGGCGGGGATGCTGAGATCCAGGCGGGCGCCGCTGCCCGAGGCCGCCGTCCTCTTCACTGCTCTGCGGGCCGAGGCGCGGCGTCAGCCCGGCGCTCCGCCCTCGGCCTGCGCGGTCCCCCCTCCCCTCGTCGCCGCTCACCGGGCGAGGTGCAGCACGGCTTCCACCACGTTCGTGCCGTCCTTGGCGCTGGTCTCGCAGAACAGGCAGTTGTGGGCCTGGAGGGAGCGCGGCTGGAATCGGGGGCCGGGGGAGCGCCTCCGGGGGCCGCCCCCAGCAGCAGCTGCTCACCGTGGCCAGCCTCTGTCCGTGGGCTGCTTGGACCCCTGCCGTCTCCGGCAGCCCGGCCCGCAGGTCGCTCTTATTGCCCACCAGCATGAGTGGCACTGCGGTCCCGGCACCCTGCAGGAGAAGAGGGCAGCTCGGGGTCCTGCCGTTCTACTAAAAGCTGCCCGGCTCTGCTCTGGGGGCTGTTGGATCCCTCCCGTTACCTCGATGTCCTCGATCCACTGGCGGACGTTGAGGAAGCTGCTCTGGGAGCTGATATCGTACAGCAGCAGCACGCCGTGGGCCTTACGGAAGTAGGAGCGGGAGATGCTGCGGTACCTGGAGCCGGGGGTGTTGTCACCACCCATGTGGGGGCCGTGCAGGGCCAGGCCTGCAGCAGACACCTGGCTGTGCTGCGGGCGCTGCTGCCCTCCTCACCTCTCCTGCCCAGCAGTGTCCCAGATCTGCAGTGTGGTTTGCTCCCCGTCCACCAGCAGCTCCTTCACCTGGAAGTCCACTCCTGCCCGGGGCAGCCATCAGGCCCCAGCCCACCTATCCCAGCCCCTCTGTCCCAGCCCTGGTACCTAACGTGGAGGAGATGTCACCTCTGAACTCATTTCTGCAGAGGCGCAGCAGGAAGCTGGACTTGCCTGCACCGCTGTCCCCTGCCAGCACCAGCCGGTACACGGGGCTGGGGGCCGCGGGCTGCTCTCCCGTGCCAGACCCCTTGGGAGATGGAGCGAGCTGTTAGACCGTCAGTGCCAGGGGGATCCCCGCTTCCCCTTCCAGCCGGGCTGTGTGAGCCGGATGGGGACTTGATGCGTACCTCCAGTGCAAAGGCAGAGAGCTTCCTCTTGCAGCAGCGTTGTGCAGGATGGCAGCTGCCTTCCACCTCGCCTGCCTGGGGGTCCTGTGGAGTGGCAGATCTCACAGTGAGGCAACCGAGTCTGTGGGTCGGGTGGGGCAGCGGGCAGGGGCCGCACCTGTGTGTCCTGAGCAGGGCTGGCAGAACACGCATCCTCCAAGCTCCGGCAACTGGCGTCGCTGGGTGAGGCTGAGTCCTCGCTGCAGGCTGAACTCTGCCGGGGGCACAAGGAACCGTCCACCCGGACCCGTGCCCAGCATGGTGCTTGGGGAGGGGTGGCTGCAGCTGTTCCCTCACCTGTGCATTTACTTCTACCTGCTGCGAGCACGCTTGGGGAGGTTGTGGGAGGGGGCTGCGGGGCTGAACAGGGGCTTGGGGTGGCGAGGTTGGGGTGTCGGCATTGATGGGCTCCCGAGGGGCTCTGCCGCTGCCGGCACTGGGGGCTCCGGGGGTCCCCAGCTGCAGCCCCCGAGCTGCAGGGCAGGTCGTGGGGCGGCCCCGCCGGCACCATCCCCGTCGTCCCGTCCCGTCCCCCCCCCGCCAGTGCTCACCGCTCTGGGGCCCCTGCAGGAGCCCAGCAGCAGGGCTGAGCGCAGGCTGCCGTTGCTCTCCCGTAGGCTCCTATTCGTCGACCTGCCCAGAGCGGCGACCTAAGGCCGGGTCGGCACCGGGGGAGGAGAGTGTCCTGCCCGACCCTCGCGCCGCCTCCCGCCCTGCACACCCCGACCTACTGCAGCATCCTGATGTAGCTGGTGAAGGCCAGGTTTTCCTCCGCCAGCTCCCGCAGCGCCTGCTGCTCTCTGCGGAGAAACGGCATCCTCACGGCAGGGCCGGCACCGGGGTCTACCCACGTCCTTCCCGCCTCCCACGTTCCCCCATTTCGGGGTGCCGGAAGCGCTGGAGCAGCTCCGGGACGCGCGGTGTCACCGTAGGGTGGGGAGGGGGGCGGGGAAGGGTAGCAGCGGGCCGGGAGGGCCGTGCCAGCGGCTCCGCGTGGGCTTCCCGGCGTTCGCGGCACGACGGAGCGGGCAGCGCTTCCCGGCGGAACTCTCTCGGGACCTCAGGACAGCGCGGGGCCGTCCCTGGGCGGGCACCCGTGGACACCGTGGGGCGGGACCGGGCCGGAGCGCAGCCCGGGGCCGGGGTTTCTCCTCGCCCCCCGCCCCCAATGCCACCTTCTGCGTCGCTGTGCCTGACGATGGAGGTCCTCCCGCAGCTGCTCCAGCTCCGCCCGCAGCTGGGACTGTCCGGCCTCGGAGCGCAGCACGCTGAGTCGCAGCCGCGCGTTCTCCTGGCGGGCAGAGTCCCGTTGGCTCCGCCGGCACAGCCCACAGCCGCCCCCAAACCCGCACCCCTACCTGCGCGGCGTCCTCGAGCCGCTGCTGCAGCCGCGCGACGCCCGCGCCCCGTCCGCGCCCCTTCATGGCCGGGGGAAACGGGACAGCCGCCCGCACCGCCGCTCCGGGGGAAACGGGGCTGCTCTGCCGGGCCCTCCCCGTCGAGCTGCCTACGGGCGGCCGAACCCGGCCGAGCTGCCGCCGCACGGGGCCCCCGTCGGGCGCAGAACCGCGCGGTACCGCCGGGCCCCGCCGTGTTTGCTCTGCGGGCGGGGCGGGGGCCCGGGGCCGGCCCGCATTCCTGCGGCCGTGCTGATACCGCGGCCCAACGGCCCCCGCGCCCCGGCCCCTCTCGGCTCGCTCTGGGCTCGAGCGGCCGCCACGGGATGTGTCCGTCCGTGCTCCGCGGGGCTGCGCTCGGTCACAGAGAGCCGAACGGGTGAAGGGAGGGTTCTGTCCGGCGCAGTGAGGCTGCGGTCCCGGGAGCTGCGGTTGCTGCAAGAACTGGGGCTGGCGCCGGGGTGTTGCTGGCAATGGCCGTGCGCAGTCCCACGGCTGCTGCATGCGTGTGGAGCAGGCAGCACAGAGTCAGGCCAGCGATTTATGTTAAAAAACGTATTTACGGAGCTATTTACAATATTTACAGTCCACACTGCCGGGAAGGTGAGCTGACATACAGCAGACGGACCAGAGCGCTGCTCCCCGCCGGCCTTGGGCCATGACAGAGGGGTGGCAGATGGGCAAGAGCTGCCTTCATGGCTGGAGGGGAGTGTAGCAGCAGCTGAAGCTGAGCACCTGCCATCTGGGCAGGCTCGGCATGGCCCCTCGATGGCTCCAGCTCAGTGCAGGATGTGTCCCTGGAGCTGGTGTAGCAGAGCTTCCATATCCTAGGTTCCCCTCCTGTGCTCAGATGACATCTTTTCCTCAGCCATGGGGTGAGGAGCAGTTGAGGGGACTGGTGAGGCCAGGACCCAGGCACACAGCACAAGGACCATGCACAGGGCCAAGCAGAGTCCATCCCAGCAAGGACTATGTGGAGACACTGATGCGGTGTGGGGCACGTCGCCGCCGCACAATGCGCAGGGCTGGGCTGTTCTGCCGGTGCTGTGGGGAGCCACGGAGGCAAAGAGGGCTCAGCAGCAGCCACAGGTAGAGCAGGACGCAGGCCCAGCACGAGGCAACCTTCACCCAGAACGTCGACCAGCTGCCATGTGTGAAGGTGGTCTCCAGCACTGCACTCTCGTAGCTGCAGGGAGAGGACAGCCACTGAGTAGCAGGGAGATATTGGTATGTATGGGGTGCAGCATCATCATCAGCTGGCAGGTTCCCCCAGCCCCAGCAGCTGCATGTCTTTGGCCATGTCCTGCCTACTCTGGGGACCCCAACCCCATGGACTTTAGCCTGTCCTGCAGCAGCACCAGCTGCTTTTGGCAGAGGCTGTTGGGTGAGGCGGTGCAGGCCTGTGAGCGCAGGTCTTACCCAGCACATGGCCAGGTCGGAGACATTGGTCTGCTCTGGTGACAAGCACCTGGTGGCTGCAGCCACAAAGGGAGCAGGTCAGACCTGGCTGGGTGACAGAGCAGAGGCAGCCTGCAGTGGGTGCTACATAAGCAATAGGGAAACAGAGCAAGGACAATGGGGTGGCCAGCAGCGTAAGCCCTACCTGAACCAGTTGGTGAGCGTCATCATGACATAAAGCGAGGCGAGGAAAAAGACAAAGTGGAAGGCTGAGTAGCTGTAGACCACACGGTCTCGCTCATCCTGGAAAACACACTGTCCTCCAGCAGGCTCCTCCTCTTGCTCGCATGTCTGTTCCTGAGCTGCACCTGAGGGAGGGTGATGGCAGCTCTTGCACACTGTCCTCATCAACACCTCTGCATCTGACACAGGTACCCAAGGCCATGTGTCACTACAGCCTCCCCCTGACCCGCTGGCACCCATCCTGTACTCACCTCTCAGCTCCTCCTCCATCTTCTCTGGGCAGCAGAAGCAGCAAGAAGGTTTCTGCAGAGAGAGACAGAGAAACAAGTTTTAGAAAGGAGATAAGGCAGTGACCTATGACACTCATCCCCACTACAGCCCCTGCTTGGGCAGCACCACAGCATCTGAACTGAGCCAGGGTTGTCTGGCTGCAGGGAGGGTAGCATAGAAGGGGTGTGCACAGGAAAGTCCCTCGTTTGGCTGGACAAACCCTGGGCTGGACGTGGGGCTCAGGAGGACTTGGTGCTGCATCTGGGTGTCTGTGGCAGGAAGGGCCACAGATGGGATACTCACTTTAAACTCAAAGCTGTAGACTTTGACCATCCAGAGGGGCCCAAAGACCTCAGCAAGATAGGAGGCTTCATTACTGTGCACGAGAGAGACACAGAAAACTGTAACACAAGGATCTATGCCAGGCCTCCTGCCCATTCTTGGATCTGGCACCTGGGATCATCACAGCAGCAGCAGATCTGCTGTGCTGGGCCTAGGGACATCAGGCTGCCCACCTACAAATGCCATTGGGCACATCCCCAGCTCTGCTGTCCATGCCATGGGCTAGGAACAGAGTCCCATGGGGTGCCTGCAAGGAAGGCTGTGCCCAGAAAGGGCCAGCACTGTGACAAGCCAACTACCCTTGCCCCCCACGCTGTGGGTGCACGCACCATGCAAAGAGCACGCAGGCGTACATGATGGCAGCCCCCAGGATGGCGACTGTGGTGTCCTCTGTTTGCAGCTCATCCTGCTGGATGCCTGGGAAGCAGACGGTGAGGTTCTGCCCCTTGTAGAGCACTGCAGGGAGGCTGAGGTGAGAGTGGGCTCGCACTTCAGCAGCTGGCTGCCTGTGGCACTGGGAGCACTCACCTCTCTCTGGGGGACGGCTGGACAATGCAGAGAAAGTGAGGTACATCACGTAGCAGCTGATGATTGAGGACTGTAGCAGCCCTGACCGTGGCTGCTCTGCAAGGAGAGGGGTCAGAGGCTCTGTGTGGCTTCCAGGCATCCCCTTCGGCAGATCCCATGCCCAAAGCCCTGCACCAGGAGGACACAGCCCAGGGCCAGAGGGAGCCTCAGGGAGCTTCATGCTTCCTAAATGTCCTTGGCTTCTGCTGAGCTGGGAGCCTACAGCCACTCTCCCGACCCCAAGATACAGCCAGCCCTGCAATGCAGCAGGCAGCACTGTGACATGCTCTGCCATGCCATGCCATGCTATGCCATGCTATGTGGTACTCACTGAGCCGCACACAGGGTGTGATGGAGATGAAGGACATGATGCCGCACAGGCTGCCGTTGACAGTGAGCAGTGCCTTGTTGAGCTGGCAGGCAGCTGGGTGGGTGTAGTACTTGTAGAGGAAGGAAAAGGCAGCGGAAGCGAGGGTGTAGAAGGCAGTGGTGGCCAGCAGCACGGCCAGGTACCAGCGCTTGTCCTGCGCTGCGCCTGTCAGCCTGACAGGAAAGTGGTGAGAGCCAGCAGCACGCAGGCATCCACCCACCCATCCTGGCACTCACCAGTTCTTGTTCCAGGTGTGTGCAAAGGCAGTGATCAGCACCAGCTGGATGAGGATGAAAGCAAAGCCACCACAGACACCTGTATAGTGCCACGCTGCAGGGGGAAAGGGCAGTGATGACGCTAGCATGAAGCTGGGGCCATGGGACCACGGGTGGGCACTGGCCTGGGCAGGGTGGAGTCACACCTTGAACGAAGCTGTCCTCAGGGAGGAAGAAGCTGGCGGCACAGAGCCCCACCAGCAGCACCAGCTTTAGGAACCAGAACCTGCAGGGCAGCACATGTCAGGGAGACACAGCTCTGTGTCACCCAGCAACCCCCAGAGCACACGCAGCTCCCGGCCCCATCCCAGCCCGCACCCGTTGTGGAGCTGAGCGCGGCAGTCAGCGCTGGAGCGCACGTTGAGGAGCAGGGCGGCCTGCACCAGGTGGAAGCAGGCAGTGCCGAAGCAGACCCGATAGACGGCCGAGGAGCCCACGAGCTGTGTGCAGTCCATGCTGCCGGGCAGGTGTTGGCACAGGACCTCCGAGAATGGCATCTGTGGGCACAGCAACGAGGGGTTGGATGGGGGGTGTGCCAGCACCTCCGGCACACCCGTCGACCCCCCCAGCAGCCCCAGCAGCCCGCAGCCCCCACCGCTCCTCTGCTCACCTTCT